ATATATATATATATATATATTGTTATACACATCAGGTGTTTGATCAATTATTTCATTGAATGCACTTCCTCTTTTAGATTTTATTTTGTGTAGTGCTTTTTTGTAGGAGCAATTAATTAACTTAATCTCTTTAATTGTTGATTAATTTACATACAACTGATTTGAGCTACAAGGAAGTAATATTTATCATTTTGGGTATTTAATTACATATAGAATAGACTTTAAAAAGAAGATGGGCTTATCGGGATAAAAACAGTGTTGAAGAGGAAAATATTTGTTTATCTTGAAATTAAAAAAATTTAATTTAGTACAAATTTTTAGTAAAGAATACTGTAGATGAAATACTTAGTAAATTTATCTATATATGTTATTTTTATCCTATCATTTATAACACTAATATATTTATTTGTAATAGAAAAAATTTTTTGCAACCCCTCTAAAATCTTAGTCAAGCTCCGTACCTTCGTGCAACTCACTTCTGTTTTGCTTTTTCACCTTTTAGAAATTTGACCCTTGTTTTTCAAAACGTGATGACTTTTATAAATGATTTTCATCCATTCTTTCATGTAATTAAGATGACTTAGGAATAATTTTTTGTATTAGATTGGCTCTTTTTATTCATTTAGAATCCATAATATTAAGTGCATCTACTTATTTAATAACATATAAAAATTATATAAAAAATTATTCCTATATTACTATCATTCTTTTATTTCTATGAAGGGTGGGATGGAATCTGCTTATTCCAACTAGTATCTGTTCTTTTTTGGCTACAATGGGCATTTAACTATTTATGATATCTTGCGTTATTCCTCTTCAACTTTTCCTTGTTTTGTTTCTGAGAGTTAAATTTTAAATTTTGAAGGGCTTAATCTAATGAGATGGGGACCATTCTATTTACCGAAGCAGGCAAAATCTCATGGCTTTAAAATCTATTACATATTTTTTAGTTGAGTAATGATCAGGGGGACGAAAGTACAGAGCGAAATTGGGGGACGACAAGCGAGTAAAGTGAAATTGATAATTTTGTATTCTGCAATTTTCACTTGTCGTCCTCCACTTTCGTCCCGCACTTTCGTCCTCTTGATCATTACTCTTTTTAGTTACAGTCCATGTCTCCGGATTAATTTTTGTACAATTTAAAACTATTTCCTCTTCAATTGATTTTACGGATGTATATCCATATCAATCTAATAAATTTAGGAAAACTAATTCCTTTTGGTATTAGTCCTAACACTTAAACCTGAACCCTGCCTTATAAAACAACAATCCAACCCTTGGAGTTAGAATCTATGACATTTATTGAAATAGCTTTATTAATTCTTTTGGAATATATCTTAAGGAAAATGATTTTCAAAGAACGCCCTCTATCAAATGCTCAAATTATGACTTTGTGTACTTCTCCCTACCAACTTAATTGACTCATTAGTTTTTATTTGCCTGAAGTTCCAACCACGATTTGAATTCTTGTTACCATTTGTTGTCTCCTACAATTACTAGAATTCTTATCTACATTTGATTTCATTTCCTGTAAACCTTTGAAGATTTTGTCTCTATAACTTTTTAACGATCAAGTAAGTTGCTTCAAGCTATGATGCATTCTCTCCTTTTTTCTTTTTTTTTTTTGTTTTTTTTTATTAATCTCTTTATTTTTTTTGAACAGAAAATATTGATATTTATTGATAAACAGAATACAAAGGGTACCCCAAACCCTTAAACATCAATAGTTGAGAGACATAAATGTAGAAGAGTGGGCTAGCCCTGCCCAATAGTGTCGACACCCGCATAAAGTGTCGACACTATACCAGTGTCGACACTATACCCGTGTCGAATTTATGTCCTCCTTTACAATTTTTACATAACTCCCTGTTTTGATCATAAAAAAACTTCCACTTTTCAAATCGACTGACACGCAAAATCGTTGAGCATGTATTTACTATAGCTTAACTAACACGCTACAGTAAAATACCTGCTCAAGCCTTCATGCCCCAAACAAATTTCAACTTGCACTCTGTTCTGCAATGTAGCCTTCTTTTTGTTGTTTAAGAAACAATTTCATTGCTTGTTTGTGGCTTTTCATTGACAAAGCACACGCTATAGGGTTAACCTTCCACTCATTAAATGAAAAGGCACAACCATTTACCTTATTCTTGATCCATAAAAATGATTTGGCTTAAATCATATCTAGTAATCTTCCTTTCATAATAGCTTCATTATCAAATACCTTACCATTTCTCCAATACCATAAATACCATGATACAACGAGAAAGATACAAGCACCCATCTCCTTCCCTACTACCCTACCCAAATCGTATACAAAAATGTCTGCCACTCCTTGTACGATATTTGGCATTACCGTCTTCATGTTCCACAACTGCAACACCTCTGTCCACAAAATCCATGCTTCCTTACACATACTAAATAAATGGTTAGCCTCCTCAATCATGTTATGGCACAAAACACACATTAATTCCTCTTCCTGTAAATGCACCCCTCGCTTTCTAATGTTCCACTTAGTTGGAAGCTTATCAAGATATAAACGCCATCCAAAGAAAGACACTTTGGATGGTACTAATCTGCACCAAATAACCTTACACAACTGTTCCTCTAAGATACCCTCCGAAGGGGCCAAAAATTCATAAGCCTTCTTCACCATATAACTACCATCTGAATCATGTAGCCACCTCCAACGATCTTCAACACCCTTCTTTAATTGCAAATTACCCAACTTATCCCACAACACCTCCTCCTCATCCTTCTCTCGTCCTATTCTCCCCTTCCTCCATTCCAGTTTCCAACTCCATTTATCCCCTTCCCATACCCCCATTTCACAAATATTAGCCTCCTTATTCATAGACAGTGCGTATAACCTTGGGTATAGATCCCTTAAAATTTTCCCCCCTATCCACCACTCTCTCCAAAAGCCCACTCGATTTCCTTCACCCACTTCCCATCGAAACCCCTCTACCAACATACTCTGTAGTCTCATCGACCGCCCCCTATACTAATAATATCTCTCCAAAGCTTGGATACTCTCCAATTCCCAATAGCCTTAATATCCACCTCCTTCCATTTGCCCTCGTAATATTTTTCTGTTAGTACCCTTTTCCATAGGCTCTCTACCCCATCCCCAAATCTATGCCACCATTTCCCCAATAATGCCCAATTTTTCCTACGCAAATCTTGCACCCCCAAGCCCCCCTTTACCCTACTGCGACATACATGTTCCCATTTCACCCATGAAATCTTCTTTTTTAACTCCCCCCCTCCCCATAAAAAAGTTCTTTGAATGCGAATTAACTCAGTTACCACAGAATTTGGCATTAAAAATAATGACATATAAAAAATGGGTAGAGCAGAAAGTACCGAGTTAAGTAAAGTGAGGCGGCCACTGAAGGACAGCGAAGCAGCTTTCCAGACAGCAAGTTTAGCACGAAATTTTTTTATCATTGGTTCCCATAGTTTCCTATTCCCTGGTTTTCCATCAACAGGCATTCCCAGATAAATAAAAGGTGATTTTCTGGCTCCACATCGCAACATACTTGCTGATCCTTCAAGCCAACTCGTTGGAACATTATATCCATAAATGTTGCTCTTACTGAAATTAATTTGTAGACCAGACATCAGTTCAAACCATCGCAGAATTGTTTTAACCATGATTATATTCTCTATGTCAGCCTTTCCCATAATGACTGTGTCATCCGCGAATTGAAGTAAAGAAACTGCTAACCCCTTCCTGCCAATCTCTATACCTCGAAACATACCCTCCGACACTACTTTCTGAACCAATCCATTTAATCCCTCTCCAATCATCAAGAATAAGAATGGGGATAAAGGGTCCCCTTGTCGTAATCCCTTTCCAACCTTGAACTCCTCCGTCAGGCTTCCATTAACTAGAACTAAAATCTTAGAAGTCGACAAGCATTCCATAATCCAACCTCTCCATTTGATTCCAAAACCCAAGCAATCCATCATCCAATCCAAAAATGACCAATCCACACAATCATATGCCTTCGCAAAATCAGCCTTGAAAACAAAAGCTGATTGCTTCCTTCTCTTAACTTCCTCCACAACCTCATTCAACACTAGTACTCCATCAACTAATTGACGTCCTCTCAAGAAAGCAGATTGAGTTTCACTGGTAATCCCCGGCATCACGGCTTTAATTCTATTGGCCAACACTTTTGTTAACAATTTGTAAACACACCCGATCAAGCTAATGGGTCTATAATCCTTTAATTCTATAGAATTAAACTTCTTAGGAATTAGAGCTAAGAAAGATGAATTCAACCCACTAACTAATCTACCATTCTTGTGAAACTCTGCAAAGAAACTCGTAAAATCTTCCTTTAAACTATCCCAAGCAAATTTAAGAAAATTAAAATTGTACCCGTCCAGTCTCGGAGCTTTAGATCCTTCACAGCTTTGTAACCCTTCCTCAATTTCTTCAATGGAGAATGGTCGTTCAAGCCATTGTTTTTCCTCTGTAGAAATCTGTTTGAAGCTAACCTCGCAAAGCTTTGGTCTATTCCATGTGTCTCCTTGAAATAACTTGCTGAAATAATTATACACCTCCTTCTTGACCTGTTCTGGTTCTTCCACCCAACAACCATCACGCAATAAGCCTGTGATATGATTTTGGGCCTTTCTACCATTTGCTACTCTATGAAAGAATCGCGTGTTTGCATCTCCCACACGCACCCAGTTGCTTCTTAATTTCTGTTTCCATATCACTTCTCTCCTCCTCATGATATCCCACATTTTCTGAAAACCTTCCTGTCTTTGAGTAATCTCTAATTCATCCAGATCAATCTCCTCATTCTTCATATCAATTTGCTCTACCTGTTTTGCAGCTTGTTCATACTGAGCTTCCATATTTCCAAACACCTCCTTATTCCAACCCTTTAAAAATGCTTTTAGCCCTTTTAACTTCTGTTTACATTTATATCCTGCGAATCCATCAACTTCCATTTCGCTCCACTTTTCTTCAATTACCTTCTTGAAATCTGGATGAGGCTGCCATGCATCCAAAACTCTAAATGGCTTTGGTCCCCAATCAGTTGTTCTTGAATTCAATACAATTGCACAATGATTAGAGATATTACGTTTCAAGCCCTGTTGCACCCAATTTCCACCCATACTGCACATCTCTGCATTCATCAAAAATCTATCAAGTCTGCTCATGGCTGTACCATCTGGCCTATACCATGTAAAGTGCCTATTGACCATTTTAATATCAACTAAACCTGCTACCAGGATAAATTCATCAAATTTCTTCATATCTGTGCTCTCTCCAGTTCTTCCCCTTCTTTCTTCAAGACATCTAACGGCATTAAAGTCTCCCGCTATCAACCATCTCCCTCCTTCTTCTATGATCATGTGCTCTAACTCATCCCACAGCTTTAACCTTTTCTGTCTATCATTTGGGCCATACACATTCACTAAATTACATTTCACTTTATCTAGTCCCCACTCCCCTGTTATTCTCAGATAACCATCATCCGTAAAATCTTTTGTCTTAGCAAAATTCTTCTTATTCTAGATACATAACAAGCCACCCGAAGCTCCTATCGATTCCTTCATCACCCAATCAATCTCATTTGAATTCCACATCATTCTGCATAAATCATCATCCCCTGTTTCTAGCTTAGTCTCTTGCAAAAATAGGAAATTTGGTTGTTCTATTCTCACTAGTTTACCCACTTCCTTTCTCTTCAATACACTACCCAAGCCTCTAACATTAAAGGACACCAACTTCATTAATCAAAAAAAAATCCCACACACCCGTTCGTTACTACCCGACCCTTTACCCCACTTCCCCTGTCACTCCCCTACAGCCTCCCTCATCTCCAATTCCAGCAATCGGGACTGCACTTCCTCCTCATTATTTTGAATTTGAATGCAAAATCTCTTACCCATGCTCATCATCATCCTCACCTCATGCAAGGCCATCTCTCTATGAATCAACCTACTTCTATTTGCTATACACCCATTAGAAAGGGAATCACTAACAACCGAATTTACCTTGCTCACTGTACTCGTTTGAGTTCCTGCTCTTTGTTGCTGTCGCTGCTTTGTTTTTTAAATTTCCCCGTGTGTCTCTTTTGCCCAGATTTCCACAAAGCTTTCTGGGTAGCAGTCTTTTATTTGTCTTCTCCGCATCATCCTGGAATCCCTAATTGCAAGCTCTCGGTGAATGGCTAGCTCTCTTTTAAAAACCTCCTTGGGCCCTTTCTTTTTACTTCTCTTTATCTCTTCTTGTCTAAAGTCCCCTCTAAGCCCACTCTTGCTCCTTAGTCCAATTTCCTTACCCTCCAACGGCCCATTTGTCTTGGACGGCCCACTTGCACCATCTTCTATGTCCGCGTCCTTTTCTTCTGCATGCCAGCTCACCTTTCCTTCCTCTGAACTTTTAAAATATGAATTCAGAAGACTGTCATGCATTGAATGTTCCTCATCCATGCTCATGTCATCTTCTACACAAATCTTTGCATTATCGAAATCTTGATCTTCCTCGTTTTGCTCGGATGAATACTCTGATTCCGTTGCCGACTCACTTTGCCGATCATCATCTGAGAGCCATCAGTCTGGGTCGGAGCGCCATTCTTCCTCAATCACCTGTATTTCATACATCTGTTCTTCCACCTTCAGTGAGACTTGTTTAACAATCTTATGCTCTGCAGAACATATAACTAATATTCTCCCCTCACACAAGATTGACTTCGTCTTTGTGTCACCATGAATCATCACGACCTCGCCCATTGATTCTCCGATCATTTTAAAGCATCTGTCAATCCATGCCTTCAATGGAATCCCAGATATACGAAGCCATACTAATCTGCTTCGTTCCTGAACTTCCTTGTCCCATGGTTTAATGTCTACAAACCACAAATCAAACAACTCTTTGTTGAGATTCATAAACTCAATCAAATACCCTGGTTTTTTTATTAATCTCTTGATATCCAAAAACCATATTAAATTTGAATTTTTTTTTTTTTTTTTTTTTATTAATTTCTTGATATCCAAAAACCACATTAGATTTGAATTAATGTTGAGTCAAATCGTGTTGGACCCTTAAGGGAAAGCCCCCTTAATATTTATCTCTCTTTTCATAAGATTTGAACTTAAAGATTTTGTTTAGGGAACCAAGCTCCCGGTTATGCAATCTTTTGTTTAGTACATTGGGAGTAGTAGTTCTAGGGATTGGAGATTAATATATTTTCTAGTTAAACCTTGTGTTTACTTCTGTTATGGTACGTATTTACTTGTTTTGCTTAATTAATTTAATCTCATGTAACTCTGCCCGCACCTTGTAACAGCTGATGTACTACATAGCTTGAGGACCAACTTAAATGATCCTAACAATATCCTGCAGAGCTGGGTATGGCGTCCTACCTTTAACAACGCGTGCGCATGGTTTCATGTTACATGTGACTATCATAGTAGTGTAACTCGAGTGTAAGTTTTTGTCTCTTTGTTGTCCTCCGAGTGTTTGGTTACCACTCAACATCTTAACTTATTTATTTATATTTATTTATTATTGAATTTGCATTTTGTTCTCTGTATGATGGCTGTTTTGTGGATTTTTCAGTGATCTTGGAAGTGCATCTTTATCTGGGCAACTAGTTCCACAGCTAGGACAGCTTAAGAATTTGCAGTACTTGTAAGTCGTGCCTTGCCCTGAAATACTATGATTTTCATTTATTTGGTGTGTGTGTGTTTCTCTCTCTCTCTCTCTCTCTCTCTCTCTCTCTCTATATGTGTGTGTGTTTGCATGCCAAAAGACTCTCTCTCTCTCTCTCTCTCTCTCTCTATATGTGTGTGTGTTTGCATGCCAAAAGACTCTCTCTCTCTCTCTCTCTCTCTCTCTATATATATATATATATGTGTGTGTGTGTTTGCATGCCAAAAGACTCTCTCTCTCTCTCTCTCTCTATATGTGTGTGTGTTTGCATGCCAAACGAAAATCTTGGGTTTTTGTGCTGTCTAATGCAAAAATAGTACTTTTCATGTAAGGTTTTAAACAAGCAAAACTTATGTAGCAAACCAGTGAGGAATCCAAAAATTTTAGACTTTTTTTTAAGGATCTAAACCAATTGCTGCTTTAAGTGTCTGGAAGAATATCTAATCAAGAACTTGTTTGCGTAATTTGTGGCTAGGTTACATTTGCCACCTCTTGATTGAAGTGTCAATCTTGATTAAACGTGACTGGTTTCTAAGTGTAACTCAACTGTGATCATGTTCCTTTTATAGTGTGAAAATTATCAAATATTGAGAAAATTAAGAATATCTGTATATAGAAAACGGGGATTTATATATAATAATCAAGTGCTTGTGGTTGTGGAATTATGAAAATGACCCAAACGACAAGATTCATTGGTTAATGTAGATTATTGTGCTCTTATGTTCTATGGAGCTCAGTTGCATATAGATTATGAGATATTCAACTGCTTCTGTTTTTCTCTTTAACATGATGAGTTGCATTCTTAATTCTTATCTTTCAAATGATGGGTTCTGAAAGCAGTTCGTTCAAGTTCTTTTAACTTTTGGATCAGTATTCATCCAAGTAATTGAATTCCAGTCTTATGAGCTTTCTTTGATAGATAACACATAATTAGTTTTCTTTGACATTTTGAGCTTTGATGTTGATGACAGGGAACTCTTCAATAACAATATAAGTGGACCAATTCCTAGTGAACTCGGAAATTTGACAAACTTGGTCAGCTTGGATCTTTATTTGAATAGTTTTACAGGTTCTATTCCAGAGTCACTGGGGAAGCTGTCTAAGTTGCGGTACCTGTAAGTATTTTTATCTTAATTATTGTGTGCTTGCCTGGATATGCTTAGAATCTTGTGCTTGATGCAGATAATAAAATATACATGTTCTAAAGCAAATTGAAGGGAACTTAGAGAACTGAAGAAGCTTTAAGTTCAACCTTTTAATGCATTTTGCACTGTTACATGGCACTCATTCTCACAGGCACACCCAAAAACACGTTGATTGGTTTAGTTCTTAACTTGTCTCATTGTCACAATGTTTGTGCAAGGATAGTCGGCTTAACAACAACAACTTGACGGGTCCCATTCCAATATCGTTGACCAATATCTTGTCGCTTCAAGTATTGTGAGTACAAACTATAAATTGGACTTATTGATTATCTCTTTCCTCCTCACCAACTCTCCCTAACCGTTTCTTTTTGTGACATTATTCTGATTGCAATACCTTCGTGCTATAAATGGCATCATGATATGCAGGGATCTGTCTAATAATCGCCTTTCTGGAGAGGTTCCAGACAATGGCTCCTTTTTACTGTTCCGTCGCGACAGGTAATTTCTTGTGATTTGAATGCTTCATATCATGAATGACTTATTTTGCATGTCATTCTTATGGTTCATTATTTCTTATGCAGTTTTGCTAATAACTTGGACCTATGTGGCCCTGTTACTGGGCGCCCTTGCCCAGCCCCAATTTCTTCTTCAGGTAATCTTCCTAATTTCACAACGCTGAACTCAAGTGTTAAATGCTTATATCATTTCTGTGCTCCAAGTAGTATCCATCATCCAACATGATTTGTCAAATGACGCGCACCTTGTCCCATTACTTGGTCTTAATAATTTTTATCTGTGGAGGACATGATATTCAAAATTTTGCTTAATAATTTTTCCATCATATCAAATTTAGGTGAAGGTAGTGCCACTGGTGCAATTGTTGGAGCAATCTCTGGTGGTGCTGCCTTGCTTTTTATTGTCCTAGCAATTGCATTTGCATTCAAATCAAAAGAAAGTCTAAAATTTAAGATGTCAGAAGTAGTACGCAAGACT